AGCACGCCATTTCTCGACCCGCTCTTTCGTTTGAGCCCAAAAAAACATTCATATCTTGTCTGACATCTTTGCTACAAACTCGGGTCTTCAACTCGGGTTTTCAATTGAAGGCCCGAGTTGTAGACCCGAGTTTGTAGCAGCGATGTCAGACAAGATATGAATGTTTTTTTGGGCTCAAATGAAAGAGCGGCTCGAAAAATGGTGTGCTGATGCCTCTAAAGATGGTTTTGAACCAGGGGAGACTCCTAGACCCCACTGGACAATGTTGTCACAATTGCGCTTTCCAGTTGAAAACAGACATCATCTTTGGAGACATTTGTCATCTTTAAAACCATCTTCCACGGTAAAAAGTGGAAACACTGCACGCCATTCACTCACCTTATATGCAGGGTAAAAAAAAATTACTTTATATCCACGGTGAAAATCTTCCCTATATCCACGGTAAAAATGGGCCCGATGCACACCACTCCTTTACCTTATACCCACGGTAAGAATTACCTTTTATCCACGGTAAAAAAAATGGGCCTAACGTACCCCGCTTACCTTATATCCACGGTAGAAATTACCGTATATCCACGGTAAAATATACCCTATATCCACGGTAAAATTTACCGTGGACCGTGTGAATAGACACTGCCATATTTTTTTCGAGGTAAATTCAACTGGGAATGCTTGGTATGTTTTATCAGCGGAGGCCCGCACGTAAAGGGATGGTTAGGACTGGTTTAACCGCTTGTCTCCATTCCCCACTTTACCTTCTACATTAATGGAAAATCTACATTTCGGGTTCTTTTCCAGCGCTAATTTTCCATTCATATAACAGAACATTGGAAACGATATAGTGATTGACTAGCTTTATTGATTTCTTATCAATCAGGGACATTTTGAACGTCATAAATTGTCTGAGTAATACGAAGTTTTTGGTCAATGCTGCTGAGCTGCTTATCGCAATGACCTTGTCTTCGTTCAAACGCACGTTCAATCTCAATAACGTAGAGAGAACTTACAAATTGTAAATTTTGGGAAATCCAATTTTTCTACAGAATATATTTGTTATAAAATAAAAGCAAATTTCTAATGCAATATCCCTGTCTAGCCAATAAAACCATCTCCATATTTTCATCCCTCATTTTTAATTTACTGAAATTCAAAAATGAAAAATTTAAAGAAATTCCGAAAATGAGGTTCTATGTTTCTACAATTGTTCAATCACAATCTTTGAAGTGCTTTTCAATGACAGGTGGAATGTTGGGAATGCTTCCATGACCTCTATTTTTGAAAAACTCGTTAAATTCTTCATCCAATCCATCCCTGTCATTATTAGAAAATCTCATTTGAAATCAGAATACTCAATTGCCATTTCGATTTAAAAATGCAAGAACTTCTATGTTCGACATTTAGCAGTAAAACGGTGTAACGATGGGAATCAGACATTACACTTTTACTACTTTTTACTATATTCATTTTACTACAACACTACTATAGAATTTTTGATAAGGCTATGAATTTTCCCCTTCAACTCTACGTGGCCATCCGCATAAAAAGGGCCTACATTGTTGATATGAAGTACTCCGATAATATTAACAACATTTCGCCCATGTTAGAACCCGAATAACACTGATAGCGTGAAAAATGGAGTCGCTAGGGAAGATAAAAAAAACCAACCTTGGTTCAAACGGAAATTGCGGAGACATAGTACATACATGCCCGAGCCTTGGAAAACAGATCACCGTCCCCCACGTGCAAGATTGCCTTCCGAGCCGAGGGCGAGCATGGCGAGGTGTGTATATTATTTTCGTGTCACAGGACATGAAAAACCCCATTTTCATCGCGCCGCGCGCCACAAAATTGGCGTTTTTCAGGTCCCTCGACACGAAATAGTATATTTCGTAACGAGTGCAAAAAAGTGTNCGGCGGCCTCGTCTCCGACTCACGTGCCTCGTGCGCCTGTACTCCACCAGCGTTGAATTCAGCACTTCTCCGCCTTAGCACGTAATATACTATTCTTGGCGAGTGGGAGGTTTATATCACGAGCCGAAGGTGAGTGATATAATCCCACGATTAAAAAAACATTTTTACACGGGTTACGAACAATATTTTTCATCACAATGTGGCGGAAATGGGACTTTTAGGCACGCGGAGCGTGCCGAAAAGTTCACTTTTCGTCACAGCGTGATGAAAATTAACATGCACACCTCGCCATGGAAAACATATCACTCTCCCCCACGTGCTTGCCATCCTCGCCTTCGGTTCGGAAGGCATTCTTGCACGTGGGGGACGGTGATCTGTTTTCCAAGGCTCGGGCATGTAATGTACTATTTCGTCACTAGGCCCGAGAAAACCGCGATTCTAACCTCGCTTTGCTCGGTTAGATCGCGGTTTTCAGGCCCAGCGACGAAAAATATTGTATGTCACACGGCGATAAAAGTATTATCTGACGAATGTGATTATAATCCTCGCCTTCGGCTCGGATTATAAAGTCACATTCGCCAGATAATACTTTTATCACCTGATGACATAATGTACTATTTCAGGTCCCGTGACACGAAATAGTATATTATGTCACCAGGCGATAAAAGTATTATCTGGCGAATGTGGCATTATAATCCGAGCCGATGGCCTCGCCGTGTGGCATACGATATTTTATGTCGTTGGGCCCGAAAACCGCGATCTAACCGAGCGAAGCGAAGTTAGAATCGCGGTTTTTTCGGGCCTAACGACATGAAGAAATTGAATACCTCGTAAACTAGAATCGACAAAGTGGGCCCTTTTTATGCGGGTGTCTGCGTCTATAAAGGCGTTTATACAATTTTATTCTATAATTTATGAAAACAAAATAGGAAGCTTGCATAGAGTTCAGTTTTCCCTGTTTACCCATTCTACATAACCCATAGATATAACTAAACGAAAAGAATTATGGAAAAATATTGTCTAAATATTTTATTATAATTGATTGAACATCAGACAGTTTTAAAACCTAGTGTTTCGGTCATGAGGTCACAAAGTGGCATAAGCAATGCTGGGCGCCCGTATCTCGGGGATGAAAAGTCAAACGGACCAAGATTGGGGCAGTACTGGGCGCCGCGCTGCCGAGTCTTGAGTGCCGATCCTCAATTGTCATTGGCCCAGTCTCGGCTAGCTACTGGTTTGGTTGGGCCGATATTGATTGCCAAGCATCGGCCGATTATCGGCACACGTGATCCACCCAATGCTTATTTTTAATAATTGAAAAATTTAATTTATACATTATTTTTTTATAAATTAAATTACATTTTTCGGCTGATCCTTCCTAAAAAACCGATAATTGTCGATAATGATGAGTGAAAAGTTGAACTCGTCGGGATTTGATCCTGGAACCTTCGGGTTGCTAGTCTTTAACTTTACTTCCTCGGCCACCGTACAGTTGGTAGTTACGATGAAGTTTATCGGCTATATGAATGAAATATTATATTCTTATTTGATTCTGTAATTTTCTTTAATTCTGAAACTCATTATAGATATGGTAGACAGCCTATTTATTAATAATTAATAAATAACGAGTTTACCGCATTCTCAAGAATGGAAGTGAGTGAATTTGTGTTTATAAATATGGAAAATGAAGATCTTGTTTCTCCTAGTTGATTTGTAAAAATCGAGAATTTTTCATCCTTCTAATTATTTACCCCATTTGACCATTATCATAATTTGACCCCTATAAGCGTTTGACCCTTAAGGTCTCCAATTTGAACCATATATGGACCTTACGATCTTTTGACTTTTAGCATCTGTTCACGCGTTTTCTTGTATGATCCATTCAACCCCTATGATCATTTCACCTTTTATAAAAGCGTCCAACCCTTAAAAATAGTTCTGCTGCTATTACCCCTATTTGACCCTTAAGACCCTCGTGACCCTTGTGAGTGTTTGGCCCGTTGGAGTATTTCGTTTGGTTTCCCTGCTAGACAGTGACCCTAATGAGGATTTGACCCTTGGGATCGCTTGCTTTGTCCTTCCTGTTTGACCCTTATCAATTCTAGCCGTCTGAAGTTTACCCAGTTGCGGGTCGAGGCTTGGAATTCACCGAATGACCATTTGATGTTCAGCCGACATTTAGCCGTGAAGGGGTCGCCGAAACTTGGCATGTCAATCGAAAGTCGATATTTGATCGTGAGTGGATCGCTAAGACTTGGCATTCTAGGCCGAAGGTTGGCTGATTCAACAACATCGGCAATAGGGCCCTGGGGCGTCGGTCGAATGTGAAGAAAGAGGGGCGGTGTCGTCCTCTATTGGATAAGGCGCACGTGAAGATTGGGTTAGGTTGGCTCGAGCCATTCTATGATTGGCCCAGCGTTCGACCACCCTTGTGACGTCATTAGCGATTTCAAAGCCTTTGAAATTTTCAATTTTCGACAATCTATTATCAATTAACGATCAATGTTTCTAATATTTATAAATCAAAAATTGATAATTTAACACTCTGTTGGTCGCGCTATGAACGCCGCGCCTCACATTTTCCGATTTTTAAATTACACTGCAGTGAAGCCTCAGAAAAATTTTAACAAATTTGACATCGAATTTTGAAGTGTCTAGAATAAATAATAATATATTCTAAAAATATCATAAGTAGTTAGATTTTCAAATTTTTATTTCGAAACTCCGGGCCATGTATATAAGACGAATTTTCAGAAAAACATGGAAACTTTGAGCTTGAATATATAATTAAGGGTAACACTGAACATGAAAAATCGCACGGTACTTCTTCAAACATACTATCTAGATCACTCTTGATTTTTTTCAGATTTTTCCTGGATCTTTCAAATTTATAATTATGTCAAATTTATCATTAACGGAGTGTTAAGGTCGAAAACTGTTGGTGAAAAATTAAAAAAAAAATTATACACGTTCCCTATTGAACCAAATTGAAATTTGTAAATAATTTCGTACGAATCGGGAAGTTGCACAGAAAATTATATCTTTTCAACTTTACGACGACGAAATTAATGTGTCGATTTGTTTTCTAGGGTACAAATGGGCCAAGACCGACTTACGCGGGTGCCAATAATGGTAGTGCGGGTAATGCCGGTGGTGGTGTGGGAGTTGGTGTCGGACCCACAGCCGGTGGACATGGACTGAAAGGGAGTGCAGGTGGTGGCCCCCGTGGTGGTAATCCAGTACAGTACAGAGCAAGTGGTGCTGGCGCCTGGGGAGCTGCACCATCGCACGCAGCAGCCGCTGCCGCTGCGGCTGCTTACCCACCATATACAAGATATCCAACTGCTGCTGCTGCTGCAGCTGCAGCGGCGGCACAAATGCCAGTTGGACAACAATTACCATCAACCGCTAATCCTTACGCTGCTACTGCTTATGCACAGCATGCTTCTGTAAGTTCTTCATTCATTCGGTAGACAAATAGTAAAAGATTATTAACTTTCCGATATATCGGGTAGTTTTTTTCAAATATCTTTGGAGCTAAAGTGGTTTAATAGGCTACAGAGAGATCTATTTTATTTCTACTCGTTACAGAAAGATAGTTAAATATTTTTCGCCTAACCCACTAGTTTTAGAAAACTTTTCAAAATGATCTGTCCGGAATTTTTTAGATGAAGTTCACTGAGAGAAAAACAGTAGAGGTCTCAAACAAGTCTTACTTGCACCAAAAAAATCGTTTGTTAAAAATGATCAAAAAAGGATTTTTTGTGCCAAACATGCGAAGCGTGCCCCGAAATAGAAAATATCTATTGCAGAAATAGATTTAGTCTTTATTAAAAAAATTATCATTATTATTATTGGTCTTTATTTAGTCTTTTAAAAAAAACTGTATTCTCTGTGCACGCAAGAAATCTAGCATTACTTCTTCGTCATTCGATGCTCCCATACGTATTTTGCTCCCGACAAATGCTTGTTTTGTATAAAACGAGGGATAGTAGTTTGTCGTTTCGGCTATTCAATAATCACAGACCGAAAATGAATTCTTAAATGAAATAATAATCATGATATGACAGCAATCTTGTAACTTAGGGACAAAATATTTCTTGATAAATGCCCTTCTATAAAAGATATTTTTACCCTGAAAAGGCGCCGTCTTGTATGAATGATCCGCCTCTTGAGCCAAATCTTTCGTTGTTGTTGAAAATAGAGCAATTATTCATGTTTAAGACTTTCAAATTCGAACCAACAAATAATTTTTTTGGTAATTTTCAACTAATGATTTTGTTGGCTCAAACAAGATTTGTTTGAGAACTCATTCGTTTTTCTCTCAGTGTTGACTTTACATTTATTATAGCTAATCGCTATTGAACATATAAAGGACATATAGAGGACAATCGCCTATTTTGCAGTACCTTTATAGAAACTTTTATAGTGTAAAACCGAGATCATGATGCAAACATTAAAAATTGAATTGATTAAAATTAGTACCTAAAAAAGTGGTTTATCACTATTAGAAAATCTCCTACTAAGAAATGTAACGTTTTCTATCAGCGTTCTATTCGGTCGCTATTTAACCATACACACAGTGATGCGTATGCTCATATAGTAGTAGGTATGGCTTTATCGACACTCATAAATATATTTACGCATATACTGAAATGTTTATGTACCATATATAGTCAAAAAAGCCCATAAGGTTCAATGGGTATGCTTATACCACGTGAAACGTGTCAGATAGTTGAAAAAAGGTTGATGAAATCATCACTGGGTTGTTTGTAATGGGAGAACTATATGAATATCATCCGTAAAAATTTAAATATATCTGTTGGATCGTTAAGGATATCCAAGTATCTTTTACAGTTTGGTACCGACCACACTATAGATTCAACCATTTTCAATCATCAAATTTGTCAATCAAATTTTGTGAGAAAAATTTGAAAAAAACCATGAATATTCAGCGTCATCCACATTACGTTTTGCATAGAATAATCATTTTTTTAAAACATTCGTTGTTAATAAATAAATAATTGAAATTGTTTAAACTTTCAGTAAAATTCGAAATATGAATAAATTTGTTACGATTCCGAACAAATGATTTTTATGCTGGAAAATTGATTGTTTATAAATTATTTATAAAATATGCTCGTAATTGTGGAAAATTGAATTTTTTAAATTATTTCATCCATCTTTCTCCAAAAGTAAACTTTCTAATTTTTTTCAGATTTGAAAAATTTTTTTTAATGGTTCAATATCGAGATTCAAATTCAAACCTGCAAAGTTTAATTAATAAAAACATTGTAAAATGTCCGAAAACTTAGGATCTAATGGGGCTCAAATGAAAGCTCTGGTCTTCAACTACAAAAGTAGAAAAGCATTTCACTGGAGAAAACATAGCCAAAGTACTTGGATATCGTTAATAAGCGAATATTAAGATTCAATTTCGAATTACTTCTCCTTTCCAATTCAGATGACACAACATGTGAACAAGTCAATTTTTCACATCTTGTTCAAATAAGATTGGTTTGATGATGAGTGATTTCAGGAAGAAACAAGATTGGTCCGAAGGTCCGCAGGCCAACTAAACGGTTATTTGCAATGAATGTCATTGGAAATGAAATGAAGATTCCGAGAAATTTTATACTAAAGAAAAAGTCTTGACGTGTCTCCTGAATGCACAATTAAGGACAATGTAAAATTTAACTTATTATAATTCAGTACTTTGCTATTGCAATTTTCCTTGGCTTATTGTTTCGTCTCTGTTTGCAATCGAAAAATTTAAAGAACATCATTCCCTTTCAGTACGGTGGACAAAGAGTACCAACGGCCTCGTCACCAGCAAATACAAACAGTAGTTCCAGCAGTGCAACTGGCAGTCAGAGTGGCACAATGAGTACGAATCTTAGCAACAATGCAATGCAGGGACAACAGCCAGAACAATTGTCGAAAACTAATTTATATATCCGTGGCCTCAACCAGAATACAACGGACAAGGATCTCGTCAACATGTGTTCTCAGTGAGTTGAATGACAAAAACAAAATAATTAATTTCCTACTCGGGCAGGGATCCCAAAATTGAAATATTTATGTAAATCATCATCTTCAGAGAACGTCCCTATCAGGGTTGCAAAATAACGTCACGTTTTAGAACGCGTCAGGTCAGAAAAAAATGACTGTTATGGGACACAAATTTTTCTCATGTCTTAATTTCAGTTATACTTTCCTCTCCTGTTTCGAACCAAATAGGTGGATGTAAACTGACGGTCATGAATTTTTCGGTCATAAAGTTTTGTTAAATTTGGTAATAATTCTTATTTTCAATTACTTATTTCAATTTGAATATATTAATTGTAGTGTTTAACAAATCATAAAACACCTTATCCTGAAACCATGGGGCTATCTTCGAATCCTAAGTTATATTATTAGGTACTATAAGCTGAATATAATGAATTTGTCATAATTGTCATGAGACAAGAATCCGCTATATTTCCGTCCATCTTATGACGGTCACTGACGTGTCATATGACGGATCAGTGACATGTCATGCCATTTTTCTGCTTCCGTGGTCCCTACGAGCAGTTATAAGTCCGCCGGTTTCGAGAATTATAGAAATCGTACAGTCTAACGATTGAAGTAATACAAAGACATTAAAAATTAGGCAACTGTTCAGCTGCATCTTTTACAGGCCTACTGACGAATAACCCAATCAAATACAAGTCTATCTGTACAACTGTTTTTTGTGACAAGACTACCCATGGGTTTTGCATTCGTGACATCACTACCCATACATAACCCCACCGGCAGTCATCACTACCTATTCTTATAGGGATGTATCCCCACCGAGAATACTTCCCTATTGAAAATACACTCCTACCGATATGAAGTGGAAATTATATATTTCGATACGAGTGAGATGGAATTTTTACGAGTGTGAAGTTGGCGGCCTGAGGCGAAGCCGAGGGCTGCTAATCACACAAGCTTCACCTCGGGCCGCCAACTTCACACAAATAAAAAGTCCGTCTCACTCTTATCGAAATATGTATTTTCGTGAGAAGACCCGGTAAACCGCGATTCTAACCTCGCTTCGCTCGGTTTGATCGCGGTTTACGGGCCTTCTGACGAAAAATTGCATTCATCACACGGTCCAAAAGTATTTTCTGACGAATGTGATTATAGGCCTCGCCGTCGGCTCGGCCTACAAAGCCACATTCGTCAGAAAATACTTTGTGGACCTTGTGATGAAAATAACTAAGTAGTTCGTCACTCGATCCAAAACAACTTCTTTGACACTGCTGCTGCGTTCACCTCATTCCGAAAAGTGCCTTTTCGTTTACTCGTAAATTCCCAATACTCATGGAAATAGTACATTACATGCCCGAGCGTTGGAAAACATATCACCTCGCCATGGAAAACATATGACCTCCCCCACGTGCTTGCCATCCTCGCCTTCGGCTCTGAAGGTCTTGCACGGGGGGGACGGTAATATGTTTTCCATGGTGGAGGTGTGTATATTAATTTTCGTGTCGAGGGACCTGCAAAACGCAAATTACGTGGCGCGCAGCGCCACGAAAATGGGATTTTTCAGGTCCCGTGACACGAAAAAGTGTTTTTTGGCTCGTGGGAGGTTTATAGCAAGAGCCGAAGGTGAGTGAGGTTTTTGTGGGAGGTTTATAGCACGAGCCAAAAATAGTACATTACGCAACTAGTGCGGAAAGCAGGCGGTTACTCACGAGGGCAGCGCAGCCGCCCGAGTGATACCGCCTGCTGTCCGCACGTGTTGCGTATACTATTTTATATGATAAGTGCGTGATGAAGTC